ACTGACATGTGCACCGCGTTTCAGAGTTTTGAAGCATGTTGCGACCTCCAAAAATGCGATCGTTTGGAAGGAATAATAATTCCCTTTCTGTGCTCGGGCCCTAATAATTATTTGTTGCAGCTCGACACGACAAGTTATCTAACAGGTTGTTGGCCACAATTATGTGGAGAAAACAACAGCTGTATATGCCGTAGTTATACATACAGTAATTTGATAGATTAGATATTAGGTTAGATTTCATCTGCAATAAAGAATTATTTTCCAACATTTCAGGTTTACCTCTAAATAAAGTAGTTGAGATAATCTGTCTACAACCTTTCAGACAAAGTTCACCTTCTTGCTTGTTCCTAAGCTTTCACCTATATTTTATGGTCTTCTTCAGCAGGTGATGTCATGAAACTTCCCATTATTCTGAGCACTTGAAGGATTTCTCATCTAGGTTGCCTTAAAGGTTGAGCATGGCATTATTACTCCCCCAATCACTCATTCACTACTTCCTATACACAGCAACAGACACTCAGTAGTTTACTCTATAGTGAGCAGTAAATTGACACAGACACTTGTGAATCATCGTTTTGCATCATCACTGACAATCGTAGAATCTCACAGCTGTCTTACAATCTGCTGCTGAGGACTGTGTGATACGGACGAATGTTTCCCAGGTCAAGAATGAACTGCCAAGCTGATTTGTCCCCTGTTGGGCCTTGTTGTTATCTCATAACTGAAAACTATTTTTTTTTAAAAACTATAAAAATAAGACCCAAGTTGTAATAAACGGGAATTATCCTGTAAACCTTCGTCCCTGTGTGAGAACACTGGAGACAGGCATCATGTGCCCTCTTCCATCAGTCAGTTGTTGTGTGTGTTTCAGATCCAGTGTGTTTGTGTCTTCTCTCCCCTGTAGAGCAGTAAGAACTGGCGGGCTGCGGTGGATCTGACTGGCCGGCTGCTGACAGCTCATGGTCAGGGATATGGAAAGGCTGGCCAGCCAACCTCCCACACCACCGACTCACTGCAGGTAATACGCCAGCGACTTCCTCTTCATCCACCCATTCATCTGTCTGTGTTTCTGTGTGTTTGTGGGTGTTAGAGAGTCAAGCTAAGATGTGTCTTGTTCTACAGATTAATGTTATAATTCCCAAACAGCATTTGAAAATGATCATTACATCATTACATTTTTTGTTCTTTTTTTTTTTTTTTGCTCCCAAAATGATAATATAATTATTTTTGAGTTTCACTTGAATGGGGCAGAATCTTTCTTTTCCTATAATTCAACTGCACAGTATGTTGGACATGACAGCTAACACAGACATATGCAAGAAAGGACCCAAATATTGTTTGCAAAGCTGTCTTTTTTTATACATTTTGTCAGTGTTGCTGCTGGCACATTCTCATGCCTGTGTTTGCGGGGCTCTATCCAGAAGATTGATGGCTGCATAAGCTCATTAAGAAGGCCACCCCTGTGTTAGGCTCTGTGCATGAGACTTTAAATTAATCGACCATGCTGTTGCCTCGTGCTACATATTACTGTTTGTTTTACTCCCCTAAACATCCTGACTTATTTTTGAAAGCAGGTTTTAAATGCGTGGTCCTTTTTTAGGTGTGTTTTTTTGTGTTTAGTCGTGTAATTAATTACTTAATTTCCCTTAATTGGCTAACCCAAACTGTAGCTTTAAGGTTAATAGTATCACCTCAACCTAAAGCAATATGCATCATTACAAGATGATGACTTTTAGGCAACTCTGTTAACCTTTTGGCCATCCTCTGTTCTGCCAACAGGACTTTAGCACTATGCTTTCACAGACTACTACTAGAGTACTATAAAAAGTTACATAAATATAAACGTGTAATATATGTGTATGTATTTTTAGTTTTTAGTCATTTTCAATAGGACACAGCAGATGGCAGGAATAGCAACCTTAGACACATTGTTTCTTTCTACCTTCGAAGCAGTCAAGCAATTCATCACAAGGGTTTAATTTATCAAAATTGTCTTAATTTAGCTGTATAATTTCCATTAGGCCGTGGATGTTGAGGTGGTTATACAAGCTGAAGAAATTTTAACATTTTCTGCTACAACATAAAATGCATCAATAAATACTCCACCCGGGAATTTTGAAGCTTTTATGTGTCTTAAAAGGCAGCTGCTAACAACTGGCTAAATGAGATGACAGAGGTTGTCTGTGACATTAAGCGTAAGCACGCCGAACACACACAGATTAGTGGTGGTGACGTTTAAGTCATGCAAGTGTTGTGTAGTTTGTTTATAGCCTAACGTTCATCTTGCCGTGTAAGTATCATAACCCGTTGTTCGCCAGAGTTAATTTTCTGCGATAACCGACGGAACAGGGCGATGCTTACTTCCTTTTTAGCCTCCAAGAATACATCATACCTGCGGCACTCTCTAGAAGAAGTTAACAACTAACACCGCGCTACAAACTACAAAACAAGCCTGGCTGTGTCATCAACGCTAGCACCTGAGAGTCTGCGCTACTGAGGAGGTAGTGTTTTGGTGTTAAAACGTGAAGACAGAGGTCAAGAGAACAGTTTCTTTGGGGGCACCCATGCTGCTCAGGAGCTGCTCCATCCTTCCATGTTGTTGTCTCACTGGGAGGTAGTCCATCCCCAACTCTGTCAGGATATAGCTGCATGTGCCTTGGCCTTGGTCCAAGTGCATATGGTGTGTTGTGTGTTGTCAAAAGCTCATGAGAATTTACACAACATGGTCCTGGAACCGCCTGTGCCCTCCAGATGTGAACACGCTCTACACAGTATATACAAACTAAACTGAAAATGTATTATTATGTTTGATATTTGTATTAATTGTTTTCAGCTATACTGTACTATACTACGAGGGCTGTAGTGGCTCAGGAGGTAGAGCGGGTCCTCCTCTGATCACAGGGTAGCTGGTTCCTTGGGAAAGACACTGAACCCCAAACTGCTCCCAATGGTCAGACCAGCACCTTGCATCTTGGCAGATTTTTGAATCTTTATTATCCATATCAAAAAATCCAATAACCGATCAGTTGGTTGGGCTCTAGAACAACATTACATCAGAACTACAACCCATTATGTCATTCTTGAATAATAACATAACTACAGATTACTTAATAAATACTGCATCAGTACAAAACCTAATGGTGTAATCATGTATTATGTTATAGTATAGTATATAGTATATATAATA